ATTTTAATGAGTATAAAATACATTTTATTTTAATTAGAATAATGCTGAATAGATAAAGGCCAAAAATAAAGAAGAACAGAAGAATAGCATTAGGTTAACTGTCAAAAAAAGGTTAGTTTAAAAATTTAAACGATTAATATGTTTCAATAAATTCTCTGCCAATGAACATCATTATTCAAACAGGATTTGAGGCAATATCTCATGAGATATTGTTTCAACCTCAAAATATGTACAAATGAAAACAACTGGTAAGGGCAGATCATATCAGAGAAGTGAAAGAATTTAGAAAGTGCAGTAAAAGTTATTTAATAACATCAAAAATTATAAGGCAAGCATCAGTAACGTTACCACCTTACGACACATCATTATATGTAAGTTAAAACTTTTATAAATAATGAATTATAGGAATTGCTTTGTTGGCAAGAAAAAGTATGATTAACAAATTTGTATTCTTGCAAAATTTTCCAAAACTCAATAGTTTTTAATATAAAGGCGTAATAATTAAAAATTAAATGTAATTCAATTTAAATTTTTGTTAAAACTCAAAAACTAATAACCTTAGGAAAAAATACTTATCCATCATTCGATGGAGAAAAATTTTCTCCACAAATTAACAGGAACGAAAAATTTTCGTAAATCCAACCATTCAGGAGATATTTAAATTCTTTTATTAATTTATTCACAACAAAATCCAGATTTAATGCCTACTTTGTCCACTGAGAACCCTGCTGTCGATTCGACTGTCCCCACCATATACTTTGCACCTTGCGAATATATAAGCTTACATGTGTTGTGTACAGTCTCTTACAAAAATAACCTTTTTTTAGCTATTGAGAATCTAGAGCTTTTGATATTCACCATAAGGTGATATTTTTCTGTACGACCTTAACATCGCTTTGCTCGACACCAATGTCCAGTGTTTTATTTAGCGTTGATAATGCATCTTGTTTTTTTTTTTGGTGTCATCGGCATCAACTGCTACGGTTATTAGCCTTGTGTTCTGTGTAGGCTTTGTTACTGTTTCCGAGCGCCACTTTAGAAGCAGCACTGTTAATTAGTACCCAAGAGTGAATGGTCGAGTGGGGAATCCTACCAAGGCATCAGAATTAATTTTAAATAATTAAATGAAAAAATCGCGGCCAACGGTAGGATTCGAACCTGGGACCCTTGGATCCGCAGGCAGAGACTCGACCATTGAGTCACCCACCCCGTTACATCTTGTATTAACGTGTCTTTTTTATAGGTTAATCCAAATACAATTATATTTTTTCTTTCTAATTTTCATTCAACAATTAAGTATCTATTATGTAGTTTATGGACCAGCTTTAGACGAAACCTGGCCCACAACCTCTAATTTCAGAAACGACAGGTGTAATAAATGTTTCTCCCATTGTAATAAATAATAATAAATTTTTAGTAAATTATACGTAGTAATTTTGTCGGTGTTGTATAAGTACATTTAGACGAAACCTGGTCCATAACCTAATATTTCGGTAACAGTAAGTGTAATAAATGTTTCTCCTTTGGTAATAAATTGTAATTAATGTGCAATAAATTCCCCCATAGTTATTTTGTTGGTATTGTATATGTGCTGGACCAGCTTTAGACGAAACCTGGCCCACAACTTAATATTTCGGAAACGGCGTATTAATGTGTAATAAATTCCCCTATAGTTATTTTGTTGGTGTTGCATAAATGCTGTTGCATCTTCAGACGATACCTGGTCCACAACTTAATATTTTGAAAGCGGCAGGTGTATTAAATGTGTCTCCTATTGTAATAAATAGTAACTAATGTGTAATAAATTACCATGTAGATATTCTGTCGGTAATGTATAAGTGCTGTTGCAGCTTTGGTTTCAATTGAACTTATCTTTAACAGCAAGGTTATTCAATGATTTAAATTCATATTTTCTTATACTGCGTGTTAAGTTACTGTTAAAATTAGCATTATAATGTGTAATACGTAGTTTTTTATCCCACTAGATGGCGCTAAAATCAAAAGTATCGCAATGTACAATCATATTAATGAATTACTAGTAAAATTGGACTGATTCGTGTTCGTTTCATCACCCTGTATAATCAAAACATTCTAAATATGTAAATATAAAATAAATTTCATATTTTTTTTACATTTTATATTTTCGGAAATGTCATAATACATATATCATCTGAAGAAAACCAAATAAATTAAGGCCAAGATAAAATAATTATTTTGACATATGGGAGTTCAAAGTGTAACAAATTGATACAGCATATTGATTTTCTAGCAATTTATAAGGAGTTAACGACCATCTGATTAATTAAAAAAAATTTGGTATTTAGTAATAATAATGAAGGAAAAACGTGTATCTAGTTATTCTAGTTCGGTACCTATTGGTACAAGTAAATTATACACTTTCTGGTTTCATAACACCCAAGATATTGTAATACTTGTAATTTCTATGCTTAGTTTATGTAAATCTCTTCTAAATTATAAACTAGTTTATGAATAAAATATTCAGTATATTCAGTAAAACATTGGAATAGTATTGTAGATTTCATATTATGGTTTACTGAATACATTGCTCTAAAGAACGAACTTATTATTATTAAATCGAGTTATAAGTCCATTTAAACAGCGGTATATGATGTTACATTTACTCTAATGGAGATTTACGATATTCTCGTCACTCCTCTCATGTTTCAGATTTAGGTATGCAGAATTAACATCAAAATTTATGGACAAACTTTCAGTATTACGGACGGAAGTTTCAAACTGATTTGAATTCACCAAATGGCAGGGGATAAATATCTGGAAGTTTGATGTTATAAAGAAGATAAAAGAAAAATTGGGACGGAAAATTTACTGGAAATTTACCTGGATGTCAAGAATGTCCAAAAGCCTGAATTTGTAACTAACATATGTTATTCCATGTTAGATTAAAATTGAATAGAGGAAAATGTACATATATTATAATATTGTAACCAAAACAGGACTTTTGATCTATATTATATACATATAAAAGCGAAATATCATTCATTAGACACCCACTAAGAACGGATTTTATAAACGTCACATTTTAAGGGGAGAAACGTGTGGATACATTTTTTAAAGGTAGGAACTTGAAAATTGAAAATCTAGCTAAGCATCATACATAAATGATGACGTAATAAAAGGTTTTTGGATTTTTACATATGTTGCAATGGTAGTATTACATTAAGAAAGTCCGAGAGAAGCTCTTGGGGATATTGGATATATTTATGTACTGAAGCGATTTGTAAATAGCGAAGAGCTCGCTACTAAAAATGTTTGGTTACAAATGCTGTCTCGATACTAGTATTATCTTTAGAAGCATCAATAATTAAGGTTGTCTTTTATGATATCTGGTTAAATATGTTTATTAAATTGGCACAGGTCAGTGTTGATATCCGGAAATTAAATATTCCTAGGAGGAGGATGGTCAGGATAGAATGAACACATTTCTGTAAAATCAATCCAAGATAAGCTCGAATTTGCTAATAATTGGATTTTGATGTATATGACTTTTTGTTAAAGTAATGAATATATTTTTTAGTGAAGGTGTTCTTAAAAGTAGCTTATTTTTATTTAAGGCTATCGACATAGCATGTGATAGCAGTAAATACATTTACCGATGATGCATTGTTGGTTCTCCAGTAATATGTAATTACTTATATCGCGGGTTACGTTGTTCATTCTATAAATAAAAAAATACATTGTGAACAATGTTCTCAAGCACTAATAAGTGATATAAAAAATATTAATATATATTCATTCATAGATATGAAAAATAAAAAGAAATTGCATTACCCATCAGAAGATTTTATCGCTATCTTTATGACATGTGAAAAGCTTTTTTTTTAAATCAGATTAGTTTCTGGCACATTTTCAAGTCTTGTACAACATGGATTTGATCAGTCAGTTTTTGATAATCACAGAACATTATTAATGAAATGTGTTGCGAGCAGGTACCTAAATGTAAGAATGTGCAATTTATCAAAAAATAAAGCAAATAAGAAAATTAGCATAAGACACCATAGTAGTAAGATGGTTTTATTTAAAGGACAATAAAACCTTAAAAAAATGACTTTTAATTTATTCTAATTAAAAAATATTTGTTGGAGTTAAAAGCAATTTTTTTGAACAATACATTTAATATATTTTCTTAACATTAGTTAAACATTTTCATTCCGACAATCTTCAGATATAAAATTACTGACTTCAAATCAAAGTACTACTCTGTTAGATTTGATCTTTTGTAAGTCATGTTCAGATATTGAGCTTATACAGCGTCCAATAAGAAAATAAGAAGGGGTAATGGGAAATAAGCGCATACTTTGATTACTATACGATGCAAGAGAGAGGTCCGACACATCCAACAAGGCGCGGCCATTTTGATACCTTTACCACAGTTTATAGCTAAAGAATCAGTTCTTTCACTCTGCGTCGGCACTTTTTATCTCAATGTTCCAGTTTATACACTACGCAACTCGGATAATACAATATATGACAACCACCTATAATAAAACAGCAGTCTTTTGCGCATCCTGAATTTGTATCCCTGGAGTGGATGTTATTTTGGAACTTTCAACTGGTCCGAGTGAGCTAACTGATTCTTTAGCAATAAACTGTGACTCCAAAAATAATATTCACTGACACTGACAGCAGCAAGCAAAATATCAGGTGCATTTTAATCATCTGCTTCTGCTTCCGGAATTGTCGGTTTAGTCGTTTTAACCTGTCGGATTAAAACAACAAAACCGACAATTCCGAAGCAGAAGCGGATGATTAAAATGCACCTATTAAAAATATTGCGCCAGGATGTAGGCAACACGTTATAAGGCATCAAAATGGCGGAGTTTTCTATCTCCTTTTAAAAGACACTCAGAAAGCTGCGCAGTGCGACCATTCTCCGTATAGTAAAAGAAAATCAAAGTATGTGTCCTAAAGTAAAATAAATGTAAATATCAAAATGTTTCATTGTCAGAATCAATTATTGCGAGATAAAGGAAAATTTGTTAAGCAGAACGTCCTCAACAAACGCAAAAAATCAATTTTAGCTATGAATAATGCAAAAAAATTGAGAAAGGAAACCCCAAGCTTGAAAAATAACCTGTGTAGTGGTCGCATCGTGGAATTACTAGAGTTGGGAAAACATTTAAAATGTTGCTGGTGTGAAAGAGTTCTTTCTCTTGAAAATATTACAAATGAAACACGAAAGGGTCTTTATTCAATTTTAAATGTTAAATATAATGAATGTAATATTGAAACTATAGTACCTACGGACAAAGTTCATGCAACAAAAAGTGAAGTTAAGCATTCAGATGTCAACACTAAAGCAGTTCTAGGTAAATTAAAAAAAAAATACATAAGTATTTGTTATGTTTATAATTTTTTTATTATAATTAATATAATTTTATTTATTTAAAGGTGCTGTCCATTCAGGGTTTGGTCAAACTGCTTTAAATAAATTTCTTGCTGTCATGAATGTTCCTACGATATCATCAATACTACAGAAAATCATTACTTTTATTTGTATTTTTTTATGACTTCCTCATACTAGTAAGTTAAAATTTTAAATTACTTTTTTGTGTAACTGTATTTTATTTTGAAGGCATGCTTAAATAAAATTATATTCATCTTTCGCATATTTATTTAATTTTGAAGACATGTTTAAATACAATTAAATTTAAATTGTTAAATCATATCAACCTAAAGTATAAACAACGTCCCTTCCCAGAAGGTCTCGATAAAGTGATAAACTTGACTTGTCCGCAGCAATAAAAAGGTTGGGAAGCTCTGATCTAACAGACATTTGAATGCGCTAGTTCAGTGATGATGTATTTATGGTTCCACTGACAATTAAAGTGACAGTAGATTTTTTGAATGCGTTTAGTTCGTTTTGTTTACCTAAATTATATCGTTCTTTCACTTTTATAAATATATTCCTAAAGTAAGTAGATAACATGTATCAAATATACAATCGTTTAGTTACCAATTACATACCTTTCAACTATTTTTGATGACTAAACAATATTTAGAAATAAACTTAAAACAGTAAAAATGTATAAATATGTCCAATTTATTGATTTTTTTGTTAAAAGTTTGGTTAGAATTAAATGTCAGTGGAACCAAAATGACATCACACTGAACTAGCGCATTAGCGGGCGTTGAGTGTATCGATTACAACGTTGCCAAGTTGTAATCACAATACGCCACTATGCGTTGACTGCTTTAAGAACATTTTTATTTTAAAAATCTATATTTCTTTATCAAAACGGTCAAAAAATTCAGCGTTTTTTTAGAAAATTTTATAACTTCTTGATTTACATTACATTAGTTTTCAAAAAATATGGTAAGAACCGTTTTCGAGATATCTTGAAATAAATGCAATGATTGTGTACATGATAGGGCTTCAAGAGTGTTAATTATGCACATTTTAATTGTTAATATCTCGTTTTATAGACGGTCAAAAATTTTTATTTTTTTTATGTACATAAAAGACACTTTTATTAACCTCATATTTCAATTTAATTGAATTCTTAAGAAAGGCTGTTTTACGAGTGAACTACCTTAAGTAGACACTGCATTTGTAAAGTACTAAAAACGAATGCTGTCCACCCAATTGGGTAACCAGATTTTATTTTTTTATTATGTTGTTTGTAGCCCTAGAAGCTCAACGGCATTTACAAAATCATTGTACGATAACAAATAATAAAGTTATTGATTTTGCAGTTATAAGTTATTCACGTATTTTTTTCTTGGCACCAGTGGTCAGTCGTTAAGTCCACCAAATCGGGTGGACGTGAAAGTAAACCTGTCAAGCTGGAGATACGTAAATAGTAAAGACAACCCGACAGATTTAGCTTCACGAGGCGTAATCCCAGAAAATCTATTAAAATCCCCATTTCTTGAGTCTAACATTTTCAATTGGCCTTTTATTCCATTTAATCAATTACCAGGATTAAAAAAGACAACTACCGTATTGCAATCTACCAATTATGAAAGCATATTTTACTTATTTGACATATTTTCTGATGTACCTAAATTAAAACACATTACAGCGCTTTGTATAAGATTTTTTAATAATTTAGAAAACAAGTGTAATAAGCAACCTATTCAAACAGGCTGCATTTCAGTTTTTGGGTTAAATAATGCCCATGACGTTTTGGTTCGATTGGCTCAGAATGAATCGTTTAATTCTGAATTAAATCCGTAAAATAAGAATAATTTTCTAGATATGAAACACAGGTTGTCTGGCATCATACGTGTAGGTGGTCGCTTAAAAAACACTTACTTGCCGTATGATACTAAGCATTCAATTCTATTAGATTCTAAACACTCTTTTACAAAATTAATCTTCGATTATAAACACAAACAACTCTTACACCCAGGACCCCAATTGTTGTTGGCTTCTGTTAGGCAATTTTATTGGCCAATTGGTGGTCGCAATTTAGCACAAAAAAATTGTATGGTATGTTTTAAATTTAAACCTAAGCCTTTAGTGTATTCTGTGGCTAGTTTACCCGAAAGTCGAATTAAATCTAGTTTACCATTTCAAATAACTGGACTCAAAGCCGAACCATGTAAAATTTTAAATAAAGCAGGAAAAGGAGCTAAGCTAATTAAATGTTATTTGACAGTATTAATATGATTTTTTACAAAAGCTGTTTACTTATAAATAGTGAGCAGTCTTACTACCGAGAATTTTTTAGCTTGTCTAAAACGATTTACCTCAAGACGAGGTATGTCAAATCTACTCAGATAACGATAGCAAGTTTATTGGAGCTAGTAACAAGCTCAAATTATTAGGCAATTTTTTACACATAAACCGAAACTATATTATCGACTCTACTAGTCAATACAACATAAGTTGGTTTTTATACCTCCATATAGTTCGAATTTTAAAGGACTGTTAAGGCAGCTGTAAAAAGCGCAAAACATCATTTAAAATGAGCACTAATCAATCATAATGTCACTTTTGAAGGGTTCAATACACTAGTTATTCAAGTAGAACTCTAGACCTTTATTTTCTATGTCAAGTAATCTTAATGACTTATTTCCACATACTTTGATTTTCTTTTACTATACGGAGAATGGTCGCACTGCGCAGCTTTCTGAGTGTCTTTTAAAAGGAGATAGAAAACTCCGCCATTTTGATGCCTTATAACGTGTTGCCTACATCCTGGCGCAATATTTTTAATAGGTGCATTTTAATCATCCGCTTCTGCTTCGGAATTGTCGGTTTTCTTGTTTTAATCTGACAGGTTAAAACGACTAAACCGACAATTCCGGAAGCAGAAGCAGATGATTAAAATGCACCTGATATTTTGCTTGCTGCTGTCAGTGTCAGTGAATATTATTTTTGAAGTCACAGTTTATTGCTAAAGAATCAGTTAGCTCACTCGGACCAGTTGAAAGTTCCAAAATAACATCCACTCCAGGGATATAAATTCAGGATGCGCAAAAGACTGCTGTTTTATTATAGGTGGTTGTCATATATTGTATTTTCCGAGTTGCGCATTTATTTTAAGATATTTCGAAAACGGTTCTTACCATATTTTTTGAAAACTAATGTAATGTAAATCAAGAAGTTATAAAATTTTCTAAAAAAACGCTGAATTTTTTGACCGTTTTGATAAAGAAATATAGATTTTTAAAATAAAAATGTTCTTAAAGCAGTCGACGCATAGTGGCGTATTGTGATTACAACTTGGCAACGTTGTAATCGATACACTCAACGCCCGCTAATGCGCTAGTTCAGTGTGATGTCATTTTGGTTCTACTGACATTTAATTCTAACCAAACTTAAAAAAAAAAATCAATAAATTTAACATATATATTTTTACTGTTTTAAGTTTATTTCTAAATATTGTTTAGTCATAAAAAATAGTTGAAAGGTATGTAATTGGTAACTAAACGATTGTATATTTGATACATGTTATCTACTTACTTTGGGAATATATTTATAAAAGTGAAAGAACGATATAATTTAGGTAAACAAAACGAACTAAACCCATTCAAAAAATCTACTGTCACTTTAATTATCAGTGGAACCATAAATACATTATTACTGAACTAGCGCATTCAAATGTCTGTTAGATCAGAGCTTCCCAACCTTTTTATTGCTGCGGACAAGTCAAATTTATCACTTTATCGAGACCTTCTGGGAAGGGACGTTGTTTATACTTTAGGTTGATATGATTTAACAATTTAAATTTAATTGTATTTAAACATGTCTTCAAAATTAAATAAATATGCGAAAGATGAATATAATTTTATTTAAGCATGCCTTCAAAATAAAATACAGTTACACAAAAAAGTAATTTAAAATTTTAACTTACTAGTATGAGGAAGTCATAAAAAAATACAAATAAAAGTAATGATTTTCTGTAGTATTGATGATATCGTAGGAACGTTCATGACAGCAAAAAATTTATTTAAAGCAGTTTGACCAAACCCTGAATGGACAGCACCTTTAAATAAAATTATATTAATTATAATAAAAAAATTATAAACATAACAAATACTTATGTATTTTTTTTTAAATTTACCTAGAACTGCTTTAGTGTTGTTATCTGAATGCTTAACTTCACTTTTTGTTGCATGAAATTTGTCCGTAGGTACTATAGTTTCAATATTACATTCATTACATTTAACATTTAAAATTGAATAAAGACCCTTTCGTGTTTCATTTGTAATATTTTCAAGAGAAAGAACTCTTTCACACCAGCAACATTTTAAATGTTTTCCCAACTCTAGTAATTCCACGATGCGACCACTGCACAGGTTATTTTTCAAGCTTGGTGTTTCCTTTCTCAATTTTTTTGCATTATTCATAGCTAAAATTGATTTTTTGCATTTGTTGAGGACGTTCTGCTTAAAAAATTTTCCTTTATCTCGCAATAATTGATTCTGACAATAAAACATTTTGATATTTACATTTATTTTACGTTAGGAAACATACTTTGATTTTCTTTTACTATACGGAGAATGGTCGCACTGCGCAGCTTTATGAGTGTCTTTTAAAAGGATATAGAAAACTCCGCCATTTTGAACCCTTATTACGTGTTGCCTACATCTTGGCGCAATATTTTTAATAGGTACGTTTTAATCATATGCTTCTGCTTCAGAATTGTCGGTTTTCTTGTTTTAATCTGACAGGTTAAAACGACTAAACCGACAATTCCGGAAGCAGAAGCAGATGATTAAAATGCACCTGATATTTTGCTTGCTGCTGTCAGTGTCAGTGAATATTATTTTTGGAGTCACAGTTTATTGCTAAAGAATCAGTTAGCTCACTCGGACCAGTTGAAAGTTCCAAAATAACATCCACTCCAGGGATATA